CATCTGCCAACAAGTATTCAAAGTATAATAACTACATCCTTTGAAAACATTCAAGTAGAACTCAAAGCAGAGGAAACAAGTATCTGCTGGTATAACTCAGGGTGAGTCAAAGCTTTTCCTACTCAAAGTGAAAAAGCCAAAAACATCACACATTTTCTACTTAGAGAAATCATCCCTAAATATGGCCTGCCACTTTACATAGGCTCTGATGATGGACCTGCTTTTGTGGCTCCATCTCTGAAGTAGAAGGTAAAAGGCAACCTCCTGTGTATTCTCTGTTGGGAGATCGAGTTTAATTGCCCTACCCCACTGTTTGAACAGAATCTTCTTAAGATTAAGTTAAACATCTGGCTCTTTTGACATCACAGGCTTTTGAAGAAGCTTGACTGAGACTTTGTATACAATTTCCTTTTTCCTAAGTTTGGAGTTAAAAATAAAAGGAAACAATAAGTAGGGGAGAGAGAGATGTGTAGAAAGACATGGATGTGAAGATGTACTTTTGATAGGGAAGGACAAAAGAGAAGAGAATAATTTTGTATAGGAAAAAAGCTTGTATGAAAACTTTTTGTCTTAAAGTAACTGGTGGATTTAATAAAAAAAATTAAGATGAAAATGAGGAATTTTAAAATGTTGAAAGACGGTGCATTTAAGTCGTGAAGCTTTGTAAAGAAGAATTTAGAATTTTGTATGTGACTAAGTTAATTATAATGGAAAGGAAATCTCTAGTTAAAACAACAAAGTTGTCTGTTCTCAGTTTGTAAGACTTAGGTTTGAAGCCTCTTAAATTTCTATTCTTGTATACATATTTAAAGTGATGAGAAAAAAATGCATCAAAAGTCAGAACTCAAAGGGTCAATTTACCATTATAGAGTTAATACAAAGTTTGTTTTAAAACCTGTTTTTCTATCTTTTTGCTTGCTAAAAACTGTAGTTGCTATGTTACAAATAGCCTTGAAATAAAGTACCAGCACTCAGCAGAAGACCCAAGGTCAGTTACTCATTGGGAACTAAAGAAAAAAAAAAAGAGTCCTCTTTACTTTTTGAAACAGCAGTCACTTTTCTTTCTGAATTGGCATTGTTCCGTCTGGCTCTTACAGTAAATGAACGTATGCTACCAAATTGGAAATTAACTGGAAACTCCATACATACTGCCTACAGACCACAAAGTTCTAAAAAAGTTGAAAGAATGAATAGAACATCAAAAGCTAGTATAGGGGAAATATGCCAAGAACCTAAATTTCAATGGATCCAGAATTTACCATTAGCATTGTTTAAAATCAGATATACTTCTATTAAAAAAACAGGGTACTCACCCTATAAAATACTATATCACAGGCCCCCTCTCATTTTTATGAAATTTACCAGCAACCCTGAGAGAACTGGGAGAAACAGAATTTACTAACTGACTAATGTCACTGGGAAAAATAATGAAAAAATATTTCAGAAGGAGTGAATGATAGGTGTCATAGATAGTTTATCTCCCCCAGTCCACCCCTATTCTCTAGGTAACCAGATGTGAATTAAAGATTGGAGCTGGACCCTGCTGAAACCATGGTGGAAAGGCTGCTATTTGATGATCCTGTCCACACCAACAGCAGTGAAAGTGGATGACATTCCTGCCTGGATACATCACTCGCATGTGAAACCAACCAGTGACAAGGAGTAGATGGTCCAATGACACCCAGACCATCCCCACTGCCTTACCCAGAGGAAACAGACTACGGCCCTGCCCCAGTCACATACCAGGAGCTGACTGGTTGACGGCACGGCAGAAGTTTGAGGATGAGCAGCAGCGGCATGGGACTGATTCTTTGCTTTGGACTTTTTCACCTTTCTTCTTAGGTGTAAGACATAGTGAAGGTTGTGAAAATGTACCCAAGAGGTAACCCAAACTAGACAAACTGTCAAAACTGTGTTACTGGTTTGCTCTCATTATGAATGTACAGGAAAGCTTGAAAGAACTTGAATATATAATAACCCCAATATCAGGTATGTGTGCTCCCAGTGGGCCTGCTGTTTTCTTCAATGTTTCTGAACCCCCAGAGCAAACTGAATTTTCTATGTGGTATACTGATATCCCTAGAAAAACAATAACATGAGTTATAACAGAATGAATACCAAAACAAGTACCTTTGATGCATGCCAAGTTTTTCATAACATAACATTTGAGGGAGCATGTACAAATCCATCATAGAAAAGACAATATACTAAAAGAGATAAGTACACATGCCACAGTTTAGGCACCTGTGCAGGATGTATGCACTGGCCTTGTATAATTTGGGCCACACAGATTAATCCCAATGACAGTAATCCAGTACATTTAATAAAAGGGAAAGCTCCTTCATTAAATGCTACTTATTACTCATTAAATGGTAAGCCTCCTTCCCCTAGTTGTAACTGGGGAAATTGTAATCCATTGATACTAAATCTGACCCTAGATAGGCAAAAGGTGAAAACCTTACATTAGGAATAAATGTACACAGAAGAGACCCTATCATAGGTATAACAGTTAAAATAACCAAAAGAAACTCAAAGCCTATGTACCCTGCTTTCTATGACAATAACCTGCTCCAGCCCTTATTCCTAAAACTAAAACTTATTCCTCAACCTGGCAGAAAACATTGCTCAATCTTTAAATATAATATCTTGCTTTGTCTGTGGTGAGACTATGATGAGCAGTGAATGGCCCTGGGAAACCAGAAAAGTCGTTCCCTCAGATCCTACTCCTAATGTCACTTACTATAAGCATGCATGCAGTGGGAGTAAGCTTTTGGACACTAAAAACATCCATCATAGGTCAATACTGTTTAGTCAGAGAAGGAAACAACTGCACCATCCCAGTGGGGAAGCTATCATGTCTAGGCCTAAAAATGTATAATGAAAGCATCAATAGTACTATCTGGTGGAGTAAGGACATAACTGAACTAAACCCCTTGAGTAGATTCCCAAAGCTCAAAGCTGCTTGGGACCATCCAGGGATCAGCACTAACTGGGCAGCTCCACCAGGTCTCTACTGGATCTGCAGACACTGGGCCTATATTCAGCTTCCTGACAGATGGTACAGAAGTTGTTTAATATGTATGATCAAATCTTCCATCTTCCTACTGCCCCTAGAGAATGGAGAACTGTTAGGTTTTCCAGTTTATGCTTCTGAAGTGAAAAGACAAAAGCGTGATGTGGTAATAGGAGATTAGAGAGATAATGAATGGCCTTCCCAGCAAATAATTCAATATTATGGTTCAGCCACCTGGGCTGAGGATAGGTCATGGGTATACAGAACCCCAATATATACGTTAAATCAGATTGTCTGATTACAAGTGGTTTTAGAAATAATAAGAAATGAGACCAGCAACGCCATAACCTTACTGGCCCATGAAGAAACCCAAATGAGAAATGCCATTTATCAGAACCGGTTGGTCCTAGACTACCTTCTAGCAGCTAAAGTAGGAGTATGTGGGAAATTCAATTTAACTGTTACTTACAGATTGATGATGAAGGACAAGGAATTGACAGTATAACTAAAAGGATAACTAAAATAGCTCATGTATGTATACAAGTGTGGAATGAATTTAACCCAAATTCTTTATTTGGTGGATGGTTTTCTAAACTAGGAGTACTTAAAACTATTGATTATAGGTTTTCTTTTTGTAATTGAAGGATATTTGCTTTTGCTTAGTACCTATCTTTGTTCAATTTCTCAAAGACATAATGTCTGCAATAGTGATAAAAGAGAACGCACGCAAAGTGTTCATGGCTCAACGATATTATCAAATAGCTATGGATACCGATAATGAATGAGATGAGACCCCATTCATAATCGATGGGCTCTCAAAGGGGGGAATGAGGAAGACAAAATAATCTTATAATTCTTAGTGATCCTGAGAAAGCAGCAGGCAGCTGCAGAACTCCTCCTCCCCTAAAGATAAGAAAAAATTTTACACTGAGCTGAAATAACCTTGAAAAGCAAAAGAAAAAAAGACTCTGTAACTAATAACAATAGCCTAGTTTCTAACATCTGTAGCCATAACTATGTAGCTGATATTGAACTCAAGAGGAAAAAAAGTTATAAAACAGCCTGGAAAAAAAGCCAAAAGCCTTGGAACTCAGCATTTCACGCCTTGAGGTACTTGAGTTCTCCCTGGCAATTAAAGGTTCCTTTCTCTATCTTGTTAGTGTGTCTGTTTTAAGTTGCCATTTTCCTTCAACAATAGTGTGTGATCTGGCATTGAGAGACTGATGGAGAAACACTGGCTACACACAGAGAAGACTTTAGGGTGACCTTGCCACTCCTCTTTCCCTTCACACCACGGACTTTAAACAGCTCCCTCTGCCCACATTATCCAATTCAAGCTCCCAGGCTGGCCCTCCATAATGGGACAACCAACCCCTGGCACCTTCTTCAGCGACCGCTGGGCAGGTCCTATATCTACCCCAGCTATATCTGAGCAGTTTCTGCCTTGTGGAGAGAGACCCAACCAACGGTCAGTCTTCACCTGCCTAAGTTCTTTGTGTGTTCTGTATGTCCTCCTGGCTTCCACTGTGACGAAGGGGTACGGTCAGTCGGAGCCCTAGGCCTGATGTCCTCCAGGAAGAGGGTGCTCAGGTCAGGGTGGTTATACATAATGTTGGCTAGGCCGGCATTAGCACAACGTTAGGGCCATTTTGGCAGGAACTAACCATGTCCCAGAAGGCCTCACGCAGAGCCTGCTTGCATAGGCGCCCTAGGGAGCACGCCTAGCCTCCCGCCCCCAGGGTGGGGCCTCGTGAGAGAGGCTCAGTCTCTGGGGGCCGACGGCGACTCCTAGGGGACTCAGCCAGCAGTGCAGTCTCTCCAGGAAGTGACCGCGTGCAGAAGCTGCGTGCGCAGGCGCAATGCTCATCGCCCATGCATTTTGGCGGAAGGGGCGGAGCGTGGCACCCGACACTCACTCCTTCCCTTTACCGTTTTCTGAGAGGTCAGTTGGCTCCAGTGTGGGCTCTGCGGGAGAAGGGGCGGTGCGATGGACGTCCCAGGCGGTGGCGCAGCAGGAAGCGCAGGAGGCCAGGGTGGCAGCAGAAGCCTCGATGGTCAGGGCAACCCCAATGGCCAGGGTGGTGAGGGCGCAGTTGGTGGTGCTCAAGTGGCGGATGCCAATGATGGCAGTGTTCCCTGTGTCCTCTGCGCACTGCTTCCTCAGGGGCAAGGTGGAGAATTCGTGCCTGAGGAGAGAAGGCCAGGACTCCAGCTGCATGAATTGTATCCTTTAGAGGAGCCAGCTTTGGCGGGGAGGCCAGGAGGGACCAGAGAGGCACAACGGGAGGGGCAGAGCAGGGTACAGAGTTGGGGACGTGGAAGGGACCTTTAACAACACCTGGAAGGGAAAGGCAAGGCTGGAGTGGCCCAAGGGGACAAGAGAGGGATGTGGGTGGTCCCAGGATGCAAGAGGTGGAGGAACAGGCCTAGGGCAGGGTAGGGGGACAGAGGGAGAAGTCTAGGCTGAGGAGACTGGGTGGAGTGGGCATGGAGGGCCTGAGGGTTATGCTGAGCAGATGGACAGGGAAGAGAGTCAGGACTCAGACGACTCGGTGCATGTGGGGCTCGCCTGACAGCTGCCTGTGGGTGAGTGGGCCTAGAGGGTCAGGGGCCCGAGGCATGGATGAAATCAGCAAGTATGATGCCTTAACCATCTCTCCAGCACTCTCAAAGTCCCATTCCCTTCGCCTTTGGAGGCTGAGATTGCTCAGAGATCCTTGGCTCCGTATGTGGAACACCTGCAGGCCATCCATAAGGAGTTCGCAGTGGATAGCAGCACCCTGCTTGTGTTAGTTTCTGGAAGGAGCTGGGGTGGAGGGGTGGAGATAGGTGCTCAAGTGGAGGGGCATCTTAGTGGAGATGGAGAGACACCTAAGGGTTAGGTCAAAAGAAGAGGAGGTGGTGTACTGGGCACAGGCAAGAGTTCTGACTGTTACCTCTGTTTCTCGTTTTCCCTCCCTTTTAGTAGCTGGGCCGCTGAAGACATTTATCTCCTCCGAATTTCCTTCACATCCTTTCTTGATCAGCTTTCCCTGATGGTGCGGGCCATGCAGCGCTTTGGGACCCTGTCTCCGCCTACGTCTCTGCCAAGAAAAGAAGACTGAAGCACAACCTCGTGTCCCGTGGCAGGAATGCACCCTTTCCTAGGGTAATGATTCCTGCATTAATTGCCCCTTTATTCTTGGAGCCTAATATTTTGCCTATACTGTTCCTTGGGTGCTTGGGGCCCAGTTGTTTTGTTTTCCTATTGCTGGTGGAGGGAGATGAATAAATGTTTGTTGCTGCAGAAAATAAAACTGAGCTATGGTTCCCTGTCAGAGTTTCCTTTCAGCTACACAACATCCTGACTTTCTTGCTTCCTCCTAGGGTTACAGGGGAGGATCTGGCATTCAGATAGTCAAGTAGTATAAGGTAATTGAAGACAATTTAGGCAACGGAAGAAAATCAAAAACATTGTGTCCTGCCACTTTGAAATATTATAGTATTATAGGTGTATTTATGTAGTAAATGCATAACAATAATAACAAATGTATAGCATACTTATTTCTAAGTTTAGCATTACCTTTTTCCTGATTTTTTTGCCACTTAACATTAAGCTTTTCCTTTCAAAATCCTTCAAAAACTTAAGACTCTTGATCAGGGTTCCTCAAACTTTTTAAACAGGGGGCCAGTTCACTGTCCCTCAGACCGTTGGAGGGCTGGACTGCGGGCCCCGGACAAGTCAGCTGCTAAGCAGGACAGGCAGCGGTGACAAAAACACACGGGGGGCTGGATAAATGTCCTCAGTGGGCCGCATGTGGACGTTTGAGGATGCCTGCTCTTGATCTACAGTGCACAATGGCTTTCCAGATTTGTCCTCCCACAGAATTCTGGTTTCCCAAAACTCATTTTTTTTTTTATTTCAGGTTAATGTGAGGGTACAACCAACCAGGTCAAAATATTTGAATTTGTTGGGTAAAGTCCCTCTTGTAGTTATGTCCGTCACCCAAAAGGTATGCCATACACCCCTACATTGTGCGCGTTCAGTGTGGGAACACCCCAAACCACCCCTCTCATCTCCCTTCCACAATGGCTTTCCTCCTCCCCCCAACTTGAATTGAAATGAATTTTTCTCCTATGTGGGCCCGAATTAAATCAACTACTGGCTTCTTATTAGTATAAAGCCAGTATTGACCACATTGGGCATTTGCTTTTCCATTCTTGTTATACTTTACTGAGAATAATGTGTTTCTTTTCTTTTTTTTTAATTATTAAATCATAGCTGTGTACATTAATGCAATCATGGGATACAGTGTGGTGTTTTCATATACAATTTGAAATATTTTCATCAAACTGGTTAACATAGCCTTCATGTCATTTTCTTAGTTATTGTGTTAAGGCGTTTATACTCTACTTTTAGAAACATTCACGTGTACCCTTGTAAGATAAACCATAGAGGTGATCCCACCAATCACCCTCCCTCCACCCATCCCCCCTCTTCCCCTTCTCTCCCTCCCCCCCATATTCTTAGGCTATAATTAGGTTATAGCTTTCATATGAAAGCTATAAATTACTTTCATAATAGGGCTGTGTACACTGTATACTTTTTCTTCCATTCTTCAGATATTTGGCTAAGAAGAACATTTTCCAGCTCCATCCATGTAAACATGAAGGAGGTAAAGTCTCCATCTTTCTTTAGGGCTGCATAATATTCCATGGTGTACATATACTACAATTTATTGGTTCACTCGTAGGTCGATAGGCACTTGGGCTTCTTCCATGACCTAGCAATTATGAATTGGGCTGCAATAAACATTCTGATACAAATATCTTTATTGTAGTGTGACGTTTGGTCTTCTGGATATATACCTAATAAAGGGATTGTAGGATCAAATGGCAGGTCTATTTTTAGTTCTCTAAGTGTTCTCCAGACGTCTTTCCAAAAGGAACATATTAGTTTGCATTCCCACCAGCAGTGTAGAAGTGTTCCCTTTTCTCCACATCCATGCCA